AACATTGGGTATAAATTATTTCGATATTAAGCGGTTGATTGAAGAAAAATTATTAAATTATTCTTATAACATAACACAGCTGATGTAATCCTTCTTTGGATCACCACTAGACTTTTAAATTTCTAATCATTTTCGATGTACGATGGGATTTCTTTTAACTGGACATAAAAAATTGAGACCTTTGGATATCCTCATCAGCACAGAAAAACAAAGATTTTGTCAACAGGACCTGTAAATTGGGCCATAGGTTAGACATGCGCAACTATTAATCAACATTACGATGCGATAACATAACACTGAGGACAGGCAGCCACAGATGTTCAGAGGGGCAGTCGGATTCAAGCGTGCCACAAACCACGGTAAGACATTTTGTTTGTTACAAAGCATACGTACACCTTCTCTGTATACTGGTATGCATACCGTGTTTTTAAGTTTCCGTAAAGATTACTGGAAATAAAACAGCCAGACATTCTGTTTATACATTCTGCTGGACCATATGGACTTCTCTGGACCCGGTGAGAAAGGAATGCATGTCCCCTAAGAACGAACCTCCGTTCATGAGAAAACGTGTCCTAGGATGTACTGTCTTGCCCGGACCTAGATCCCCAGCTGTATTTATACGCAGCTAGGACATATGTTTCTGTCGGACATAATTTCCTTTCTCATGTACACAGGAAAGCAAGCCCTGCATATGTATTGTCCGTGCAATTATTGTAAACACGAAGCGATAAGTATCGGTAATTTTCAGTAGGTTGGCAGCAACGTCCACACAGGCTCCTGAGTAAGGCGTCTGGATGAAATACCAACAGCGTAGAGAAATGTGAGTTCCAATCTCCGATAGCGCGTTATTCTTTATGTGCGAAATCCATGTCAACCGAACAGAACGTACTTTATATACTTAAATAGTTAGGATTATTTTGATGAGGAAAGATTTTTAATTATTTGAATTTGTTTTAATTTAAATTTTAAGATTTTTTAAACGATGAGCTATTTTAGAATTAAATTGATAAACTCATCGAGGGAGACTTAACGAGGCCGTAGCCGTGGGATAAACAGTAGACGCTCAACAGCATATATAAGAGCGCATTCTTTGTACTTACACATAAAAATGCAATAAAAGTTAAATTGGGAAACTCGGGAGCCAGAGCGAACATTTCAGATATCATATGAGAGACACAAATTGCGCTCTGAAGAATGTTTAGACTAATAGTAGAAATGCATGTATAAACAATAATAGATAAATTCAATATATTTATCATACAATTATACGTTTCATTAACAGTCCCAAGGCGCATATGTCTCTGTTGCTTCAATAAAATTTCCCCAGTGATCACCAACGCACCAAGTATGAAATGATTAACTGTCGCCCGAGGGATATATAACAGAACGCCTCGAGCGTCAGCGAGAGGTGTTCAACACATAGGCCTACACGTGTATACTGCGAGAAACGTGTATACAGTTTTATAGTACTAAAAAAATGCATTCACAATATAACGTGTAACCATATTTAACCACTTCAACCTTTTGGTTGCAAAGATTTAAGATAAATTTATAACATATTATATTATTATATTCTTCTTTTGTTTTTGCGATATGTTTTATACATGTTGTTAGATTTATTTATTATTGTTCGCAAGCCTTTGCTCTATTCAGCAATTTGAACTATGAGCTTGTTGAGATCGATTCTCCCTTTGTCTCTCGTACAAGGAGCACTCCAACAGGAACAGTTTGTCTACACAATTTACACACTCTTTGTTCAGGTCGTAAAGGGTTGGTTTTTATGAAATCTGCCCAATTAAATTTCTAGTTCGTGAAACCCCCTTCTAATTACTCTCCTAAGCGGTGGAGTTCATCTTTTGTTATTGGGGCATTTAAATATTTTTCAACTCATGGGACGATTTGTGATATATATATATATATATATATATATATATATATATATATATATATATTATGTCTATATATATATATTACAGAAAAGTCGCCAGACCATAACATTTTATCAAAACCAAAACTTTTCCCTATATACAAAGAGGTCCTCCACTATTCTAGTCTGCGTTCTACCCTTATGGACAGAGTAAATTATCTCATCTCAGTATTTCAAGTTTAAGAAAGCTTAAACATGGCTGAGTTGTAAGTGAAAAATAATTGTTAAATCTAGTTCAGGTACAACTTATACAGAAATGGATGGGCCTCTAAAATATTATCTTATTCACCTACTTAAACGACCCCAAGGGCCCAATATGTTTGTAACTGGAACATCACAAGTTGCAATAAAGACGCTGTTGCAATCAAACTTGCAAAATGTTTAAAAGTCATCAAATGTGAAGTACTACAACTTATTTAACTTATTTAGATCGCCTCTCAGAGTTGAAAGTAGAAAACGTAAATGCAACACCCCTTTCCAATAAACGACAGATACAAAATTGCTCTGGACCCAATTTAGAATGGTAAACAGATTGCTAGCAACAAACTACTTTCTAAAAATTATAGGTATAGAAGATGCAGAGGCATGCACATTTTGCATAAACCCTTCAAGACTTGTTTATCGAATGTGAAAAAAATTGCATCTCTGTGGGTTCAAATTCATGACTGAATCCATTTTAGGACTGGACAAACATTAAACCTAACAATTGGCATTTGAATGATTGTTGAGTATTATAACAATATTTTATATACTATATATAATTATATATACATACTATATCCAAAATATAGAAAATATTAAGATGAATGGGAAAAAAACTTATTTCACGGAAAAAAAATTAGAAATATGCCGAAAAAATAAGATTGCAAGAAATGGATCTAATCTCACCAGCTTTTTTAGACAAATATTTAACTCTAAAATATTTAAATTCATAGTATCAAAAAGTAAATGTCCTTGCTAAATTATACAATATTTTTTCTTTTTAAAGAAGTAGCAACGGCAATAACTACATGTTCATTTATTGTGATACTGATATGATATATAGCCATTAGTAAAGATGTTATTTGTATTCGACACTCTGTGCATGCACTTAACTATATTTTTTCGATCTTAAATGAAGCTCGGCCTGTATGTCGTTAGTGTTTGACAATTACCTCGCTATAGGCTTTTGCATTTTTAAATGAAAGATGAGAAATAATTTTTAAAAAATTCAGCCTAATTAAAACATTAAATGTTTACCTAATACCAGTTTTGCTGAAGACTTAACGAGTCCTGTAAGTCACCCCTATTTTATTAATTCGCGTTCCTGTGATACTGCCCTACCTCGGTATGTCAACAGCACAAAAATAATTGTACATTACCTGCTTACAAAGTAATTTGGTCACAGATGAAACTGACGCAGCCTTGCCCCCCCAATGACACACAGTAGGAAATCAATTACTACAAAAGGTCTTTGATCTCGTAGCTGCTGAATAGTTTCCCCAGCTGGTAAAATAACAACAGCAAATTACATGCAATAAGCCCACGCTGGTAAGAGGGGCGTTCTCTGACGCTGCGGTATCAGTACACATACTGAGGACTGGCAGATAGTAGCATTTATTTCACCTCAGTCTTGATAGTGTTTGTGTCGCAGAAGTTCAAAGGGTCAGACGGTCATACTGATAAGCGCACCTTGAGACATTATAAAAATATCGGTGAAGATATTTGTCACCAAGTATGTGTACAATGACTCGGTTTATGTGTATTATCTACCAGTGCTTCTGTATTAATCTCCTCAAGGCAAAAAGCAGGGAAGCAGTTTGTGTGCATACTCCGCTGGGACCTATAAGGTTCGCAAAAGTGTAAATGCAGAGCTACCATTGTCTCTGTGGGTATTTAATCGGTTGAATCCCATCCAGCTACAAATATTGAACGTAAATATGGGGGTTTCTAAAACCTGCTTGAGGCACATGAGTTACTAGTATCCGTCCGCCAGCCCAGGCGGGCGGTTCAAGCTAGACGTGCCCCCGTACGAGCCCCAGTCTGGTGTACCGTAGTGATAAGTTATTAAACATGCAAGCTTGAGGAAATGAAACTAAAACGTTTCATTTTGCGACTGAAATGATACATCGGGTTTTACTGATATGATTACAAAAATGTAGCTATTTTAAATAGACAGAACGCTTTCATATCTAAATATTGACTAATGCCGTACCTTTGCTGTGAGGCGTCATTCTTTGTAATCTTTGTGAGATTATTTATATACAGGATTAATATAAAGGATATTTTGATATCGTCTATTTTCCAGTGATTTAACCAAAGTACATGTCTGATTATCTAGATTAAGATAGATTTAGATTAATCTAGATTAAGTAAATGGAGAATTTAGTAAATGTCTTGATCACAATCACGCATATCAATTTTGTAAATTTATCTTGTCGTAATGTAGTGATCAATTATGTTGAATATCACGGTTTTTATTTAAAAATGGTAGAAGAAAACTTATAGAAGTATTTAAAATACGTACTGGCATAGTTCAAATTACTTAAACGCGAATAGGATTATCATTTCGGTCGATTTTATAATCAATCCTTAAAATACACCAGGCCTTATACAGCATTGGTCAAAAAGGTTGTCTCACCTACCCACCTACAGTTTCTACAGTTTTTATTTACAAATTATCATATCACAGGTGTAAATTGTTCTGAAAAGTGATTTTTACCATAAGTAACATGATAAATGTACAGAAAATACAAAATAACGTGAAGATATCCATATTCCCCCTCAAATCCGCTGTTTTGCTGTGGCTTTTACATAGGAAAAGAAATGTCCGTTTAAGTGAAAAATTTTTTGATCATTTGTAAATAAAAGCACACGAAACTGTAGAAGGGGCAACCTTTTTGACCATTGTTGTATGCGATGTGGGCTATTACTTAGGGAGAAAGTGCAAAACTAGTTATAGCCGAAAGATACTGCTGATCACGCACAGAATGGCAAATTCATTTTCATTTACAAAAAAAAAAAAAAAAAAAGATGAGTTTCCTCATATTGGGTTTCACCGTTATTCATAGAAAAAAACTCAAATGAAGTGACAATGGATGAAAAGTACGACAAACACAAAGTGAAGAAACCTAGGGTGCTGAACAGAAAGATTGTCATCGCCTTGATTGTGGCAGGTAATTGTAATTTCATTGGCCTACATAACATTTGCCATATACTTCCAGTAAATCCCTTTTGGTGCCGCGTCTGAGTGGAGCCCATTTACGACGTCAAAACATCCCAGGGAAAATCGTTTACATGTAGGATTTCATCTAACGGCAAATGTGGCAAATGTAATCATGACCTTAAGGCCTTTAAGTAGAAATAGGAAGAGTCGTTCACCAAATAAGCAAATTTTGCCACCATCATGAAATTGCCTATATCTTGGAATTGTCTATTATTAAAATACTTCGATGCAAACAAGCATTAAAGTTTTACAACAAAAAAAGTAGTGCTGTAAACACGTCACAGCCACTTAATTGAAAATACCCCTGTACATGGGTTAGTTTCTTTTGGCGTTTTTTTTTTCTGCGTTTTCCCTAATTCTGGCACGTTTTCTCTTTCAGTTATTCTGGTAGTAGTTATTTCTGTCTCTCTGGCAGTGACTCTGATGCCTACCCGAACCACGAGAGAGGCTCGGATGCAGACGGTTAATGATATACTGGATAGAGTACCACTAGTTGATGGGTAATTGATAGCTGGCCATAGGGCATTAGGGCGTAGATAGTAGACAGTAATTTTTTTTTTTTAATTTGTGATGGTGATTATTTACAAAAACGATCGGTCTGAAGCATACGTGAATTTGTATATTTTTGACCGTGCGTGCGTGTTACAAATCTCAGTGCCTTAAATTCTCTGAGTTACATGTAACATGTTTAAGATCCCATGCTGTCAGTTATAAGGTTATAGGCCTAATTTTAATGAATTATGCTTTCTTGATTCTAACAAATCAATAGCAGGGCGCGCAGGGCGCGACAAGACCACCCCCCCCCCCCCCATGCTTCGACATCACATCCTTTTATTTCTCAAAAAGTACAGAACCAGCAAAACAAAACAAAATCAACCAAATTTTCCAACCATATGCCCAGATTGCATAATAATAACTTTGCCCCTGTCTACTATTTTTGCGTGTGTTAAACGAGCAAAATGAGCGAACCTCTATCTAAAAATGAACCTGCCTAGACTAATCATTGCTGCAGGGTTTTTCAATCAATGATTTTGAATTGTATATGTACTGTTTCAGTCATAATGATTTCCCGTGGCATATACGGCTAGACACCGCCATCAATGGAAGCTTGTCCCGCTTAAATATGAGCCAAGACTTGAGAAAGGTGCTGAGGTATAGGGCGAAGTTCCATCCCAGTCAGACAGACATACCCAGAATAAAGAAGGGACGCCTTGGCGCACAGGTAAAAGAAATAAACATGTTTTCTACTTCCTTTTTTTTTTTTTTTTTTTTTTTTTTTGAAAATTAAATGACATTATATTCTATTCATTTGGATTAATGTCCTTAATACATTTAAGAATGCTATCTGATTCACATGGAAACCGCCTGCATGATGTCGCACCTGCTGCAATCCATGAGGTGTTTATCATTGTGACTATAAGAACAAGTTTGATGTCATCTTATCAGTGCATATCCTCATTAACCTGTCACTTTTCCCCTTAGTTTTGGGTGTCATTTGCGCCATGTGAATCCCAGTTCAAGGACGCCACTGTGAAAGCCCTGGAGCAGTTGGACCTCATTAAACGAATGATTGCGCAGTATTCTGATGTCTTTGAATTTGTCACCACAGCAGATGGTAAATCTCTCTCTCTATCTATCTCTCGTTAATATCTCGTTATTATCAGAATTTAAATTTCGAATAAAAGCCTATAAAACCAAATGGAATACCACACACGCACACCCAACACACACACATGCACACACATGCACGCACACTACACGCAAACTCTCGGTTTCGTCTGCATGCATAAAAGGGATACATGTATCAACTTTTGACAAAAAAATGGATTTTTCTGGAATAAAGGACATTTTCCCATACCAACCAATGGTTAATTATTCTATTCCGACATTCATAGTTAGTCCCTGTTTTTTTTCTAAAAAAAATTTTTTTGTAATGTCCCTGAAGAGATTATTACAGAGTGTAGCCATCTATGGAGGTCACGTGATGTGATGGCAAGCACAGTCTAAAATAATTGCTAACTGCGGTTTTGGAGGTAAAACAGAATTCATAATATTTCCATGGGTTGTTTACAGTGTATTTATTTTGAAATATCATACGAACAGTTGTTATCCCTTTAACTAAAATGGTACATATAATTCCAGGTATTGAATCTGCCCATAAAAGCGTTAAAGTGGCCAGTCTCCTGGCTGTGGAGGGAGGTCATCACATCAGGAGTAGTCTGGGGGTACTGAGGATGTTCTACGAACTGGGAGTGCGTTATATGACCCTCACCTGGAACTGTAATACACCGTGGTGAGCTGTTATAATAATAATAATAATAATAATAATAATAATAATAATGATAATGAAAATTATCTAACACAAGCCGAAAATCTTTCACAAATTTAGCTTACAGTCAACCTGGACCGGTAGGCCTATTTCAGACTGGTGTGATACCCTCTACAAGGGTGGCAGATATTATAGGCACATTTTCCACAGAGAATCAACTGATTTATCTTAAGACATTATATGTGAATATCTTGTGAAAAATCAATCTGTGACCCTGGTAGAGGGTAATGATGTGAGAAGTTGTTACTCGCTCTGACCGCTGGGTGGTGTAGCGGCTAGGACCCTCTTGTAAATGTCAGGTTCATGATTAAGCTAAAGGATTTTTGGCTTGTGTTTGATCATTTTCATTTATGATCCAACTACCAAGCTAATGAACATTTTTGCTCAATAATAATAACAGTTTATTAATTCACTGTTAAAATCACAGCCCGTAAGCTGAAATTATCTATATTTGTTGAAACTGAATATATATGAATTTCAGAACATTACACGACAGTTTACAACTCAACAAATTTTAATATAAAATTCAAAAACTGGATGCCGTTTAATGTGACATCATTTTCAGGGCTGACTGCAACGTCGCTACCAGGCAACGAAAACCTGTCCACCACGGCCTGACGGACTTCGGCAAGGTAAGGCAGTGGCGGATACATAGGGGTAGGGAATTGTCATTCGAATGCCTTCGCTTTTTAAATATAAAATAGCGGAATAAACACCTGTCTTTTCTTTATAGAGGATCCCACTGCGTATTTCGTGACCCGTGAAGGCCACTTTTTATTCCCGAAATGCGTGAAAGGTTCATATTATTTGGTGTGATCTGTGAAGCACCCCATTCCCGTGACTCGTGAATGCGGCCTTTTATTCTTCGCCTTTCGTGAAACAAAATCAGTGTTTTCGGATATTCGTGAATTTCAGGATTTTTGACACGCATCATCAGTGAAATCTGAAAAATAGTTTAATTTAGTGTGATTTGTGAATTGATGATTTTATTTCCCGTGAACGGTGATAACTACACCCCCCCCCCCATGATGACCCTCTTTCTAAGGGAGAATTTTGCCCTTGGCGATTTTGATCTCAGGAGGGTTGTTAGCGGCGCTATATCACTCAAAATGAACAATATTTTTTTTTAAAGTATGTGATTCTTGTTTTCTTTCTTCCAGATCGTCGTGAAGGAGATGAACCGCTTAGGAATGATGGTAGACCTGTCGCACGTGGCCGTGAACTATAGGTCTCTTTGAAAAACCAGCAGCTTTGATTTAGTAAACTTATGAATAAATGCAGGGGCGGATCCAGAGATATTTTCTGACAGTCTTCCACATTATTTTTGTTGATCCATCCACCATTTTTGACCGTCTTCCAACAGAAAAAAATTAGATACCTGTAAATGTAAACTTGAAAATCTGACAGTCTTCCGGAAGACACAGAAGACGGCCTAAATCCGCCCCTGAAATGCATGTTGATAGGTATTCATAACACGGTTATTTATTAATAGTTTGGTAATTGATAATTTCTTAAAAGACTCGGATTTAGCTAAAAGGAAGCCAGAAGGAAACATTTGAGACAGACCTTGAATAAAGTGCTTATTCTTCAATGTCGTATTGCTCTTTGAACATAAATATACTAATCTGAGTAGAGGCATTTTCTTGTGCTTAAAATAGCGTCCGTACTCCATTTATGGTTTTGATCAGTTTACATGTATTTGCACACAACTTAGATTAAATTTCGGAGTCTTGTCGCTTTAACAACCTACAGGGGATAGCAATATTGTTCTTTATGTTCTATAGAAAGAAAACGGCGGCATAGTTATGGTTAACTTCTACAATGATTTTATAAACTGTTCTGCTGAAAACACATATACAGGGGAACAGGACTGGAGACCCGCGGATATCAACCAAGTCATAGGTAAGCACTATATATCTTAAAATGGCCTAGTGTCACAAGATACGGCTGTGGTCGCTCGACTGGCGACAAATACGACATATTTATGTTGTAATGTCAAACTACTACATGTATCATTACCACACCAAATTGTAAATGCTTCAATTATTTCAAATAAATTAAGTTTCAGTCCCGGATCCGCAATTCAGAATTATTATTATTATTATTATTATTATTATTATTATCCAAATGAGACAAAATTGTAAGAAAAACACTTCTGTATATTATTAACCACTTCTGTAAAATTCAGTGAGCGCTTTCCTTATTGTATACTATTGTATGCTTCAGATCACATAGAGTACATACGCAATATAACCGGCGTTGATCACGTTGGACTAGGCAGCGACTTTGATGGTATAGACAGGTGAGAAAAGATGCTGTAATACAAAGTTTACCAATAGAGAATGCACGTACGAGGCAAATACCGAAACCAATTAACGCGCTATGGGCTAACTTTGTTTAATGTATCATTTGAATAAGAAATAATTTTTTGACCATTAAAATTATGTGTATTTAAACAAGAAGGTTAAAGAAAATTTTTTTTTATTTCCATTAATATCCCTTGATTTAAATTTAAAAAAATTACTCCCGTCATTTATTTCCGTCGTCAGAAAATCACAGTATTTCTACGTTTTATTTTGTCTGAACAACACTGATAATACAAATGCAAACATACCGTTTCATTTTACGTATTGTAATCACAGGTATCCTGTCGGTCTAGAAGACGTGTCGAAATTCCCCAACATTCTCTACGAGTTGATGTCACGTGGTTGGAGTGAGGAAGAGCTGGAAAAACTTGCCGGGAAAAACTTTCTTAGGGTGTTCAGAAAGGTTGAGGAGGTGAGATAGACTGGGTTTCTATGTTTAAATAGAGAAGCACCTTATTGTTTTTTCAATGAGATCTACAGGGTATAGTTAACGGTTTTCAGCAGAAAGAATACCCGTACATGAGGGATTTTCTTCGGAAAAATGGTGCATGTGGCAAGCAATGAAAAGTATTTGTACTTCTCCATACTGCTATGAAAAATAGTAATAGTTTATGATAGAGGTAAAACCCGTCAAAGTCAATATGTCCACGGCTGACAGGCCGTCTTAATCACATGAAAGGGCCACGAGCAGTGACCATATCAACGATGTGTTCCCTTGGGTATCGTCCCCTTGGGCACCACACCATGTCTTATAGCGAGGTTGTGTTATTGCCTTTGAGATGTGTGCTGGTGTTGCGATTTTATTTTGGACCAAAAGTTGCATTATAAATCTTCTCAGAGACGATCTCTACAAATAAAACTTAGGGCACGGTTTCACCGCCGACCTAGATACGCCTGCCATTTTGTGCTCCATTTGGTCTTCGGCGCGGCTGGCTGGAATCAGTTGAAAAAAACTTTTGTCAACAATATTTTCAATTTTTTGAATTTTTATTTTAAAAAACCTGACCTAATGCTGAGCTTAAACTTTGATCAGAATCGATTTTCAGCTGAAAGCTAACTTCGCTCCCTCATTCCCGCCAATGGCGTGTTTTCCGACCTATTTCATTTCCAAAATTACATATATACGTGTTAATTTTTTTCCTTACAGGTAAAAATGTCCAAAGTGGATCAACCTGCATTTGAGACTCTTATCGATATTAATGAAATACCGGATCATAGCTGCATCAGCACTAATTGGGATATATTCGGATGAGATTGAATTGTTAAAATTTACCGGTGTTCATTTACATAAATTAACTGAACTACTGTTATACATTAATGCTCATAAATATGGATACATTTCAAGGATAATAATATACAGTGAAGATCCCAAATATAATCTGATATGCTGGTATTGATGTAGATGTGCTCGCAAGTGTGAATTGATACAGTGACTTTCATTAGTGTAGGTACAGTAAATGATCAGCTAAACTGCTGCCCACCCTGCTTTTCCTAGCTAAAATAGTTGATTCACCCACCGATCTAATATTATATAAGGTTTATATCTTTCTTTCTTCGCAATGTATGTTATATATTAAATATATACACAGAAAAATACCATAAATCATCAAACACATTGTGTCATACATGCCTGGTTATTATAGATCGTTTTTCAATTCTAATTCTTTCTCACAACCCTTAGGAGAATACATGTGCAACCCAAGCTGTAACATATAGGGCGCTTAGGATTATCCGACACAAATCCGTCTCATCTTTATCATAGCATATGTTATTATTACCTCTACCAAGGAGAAAACTTTTTTAGAATAGATTATGCGTGGTGTCCGACAGGGATGTGGAAATTGAATATCTTTTTTTTTACTTGGGTCTATATTTAATCAATATTTGAGCGAACATTATTTCAGACAGACCAACTCCTCCTTTACACCATGACGGAGTGACAGAAACGGTAGTCCGCTAGGAACCGTAATCCGTTCCCTATACTTTATACATTTGACATTCGTCCCATACACATGTACTTACCCCAGTACTCCAACTAACCCTAACCTGTAATAATCATAACCCAAACGCCCATTCCTAGGACTACCATTCCTGTCACACCTGCAATCCAGATTTATTAAAAGAATTAACAAAACAATTATCTCAAAAAAACTTTAAAAATAGTCACATACAAACTTATCTGCTTGTACAAATCCCAGTAAAGTAATAATTATGACTCAATTTACTGATGTGCTCAATCCATTCAATTTATGATGAAAAGCGCACTCACATTTCTTTGTGTCTCCGCAGGCAGTCTTTTTAAAATCCTGGATTTGTCGACGGTATACTTCACCTAGCTTTCCTTCAAAATAACTTTACATTGTTGTCCATTTTCTTTCTTTTTGTGGAAAAAAAGCAGAGGTAGTAAGATAATAATTTGCGGCTACTTGTGTCTTAATTGCTTACGTTTCAGAAACACGATTATCTAGATCTTCACACTTGAGAAACACATTCATTAAAATAAAAAAAGATTCTGAGATTTTGTCAATTTTTTTTAGCCAGTTAAAAGTGCATTTTAAAAATCAGTACAAGATGAACTGGTTTTCCATTAACTTTGTTAATCAGAGAGAGAGATATTAGCTTAAAAACAGATTAAGTTAACATAAGCTACAGAAAGGTTAATGTGGTATTAAAATTCATGTACGCACGCTCGTAGATTTAGGTTCTCAGAAATGTATTAAATACATTATAATCGGTCGTGTTACTGAGGTGCTTGCAAGCTGCTACTCGCAAGTCTGACATTTATACGATCTTCTCCCGCCATATGGTGCGAAGTTATTTACTTCTAATAATTCCCGACCGCACCCAATGCTGCAGAAAACAAGAGAAAGTAAGACGCAGCAGACTGTGGTTTCCACTCTAACTCATATTCAAGTTACTTGTAGAGCAAAACAGGGATTAATCATTTTCCTAAGCGTATTTTTGACGCCAGTTAGGCTGGATTTTGGACCATTTCTTACTTGTTTCATTTCTTACAAGGCTTTCGCTCAAGTAAAATTGCTAATACATTGAGGGAGACTTCGTTTCCTTAATGGACAGCAGAAAGTTGATCTTCACCGGGCAGGGCGGCGTGTCTGTTTGGCTTCAACCTTGCGATTTTCGAGGAGCACTAGAATTTTTCACATATACATTGACAGCATTATTTTGCGCTGTGCCTCTTTTGGTGGAGAGTAGTGTCTCACCACATTGATTCAGAAGATATCTTTTCCTGAACGGATTTAAACAAAGGATTTGACTGTGTCCATAGCGGTGCTGACAACATGTACTTGATCAGCTTCCTCTTAATCACCATCTACTTGCAGGGAACAGACGGGTTTTACCTCATAGATAATTGTAAGTAGACTTGTTATAACGGGAACTAGATCACTTCAATACTATTTGTATGAAAAAGAGGATAGGGGCCAAAATTGTGTGTGAGCGTACGCGTGTGAATGCATGCCTTTATCAGTTTGTGCGAATGTGTGTACTTTAATTCGAAAATATGCATGCGCGTGTCAACGGTCACAAGAGAGAGAAATGTGTTTGTATGCATATTCGTAATATGCGTGGATATTTCAATTTTTGTGTGTGCGCAGGTGTGCGT